AATGTCTGTGTTGCACAGGCTATGGTCAATGTCTGTGTTGCACAGGCAATATCAGCTGAATGTCTGACAAAGATTCCCAAAATGATTTCTCTACTCTAAGCTTTGTTAGAGCACGTAGTTAGCAGGAGGGCAGAAGAAATATTTCAAGGATGTTTTCAAAGCCTCCCTGAAAAAAACTGTAATATCCTCATTGAGTCTAGCCCAAGATCACCAAATTGAAGAAGTATCCACAATGATTCCACAGTGCCTTACGGATGCCCATGTCTTGAGTTGTTGATCTGTTCAAAGTCTGTCCCATTTAGCACAGTGCTGGTCAGAGTCATACAGCATGGAAACAGACCCTTCGGTCAAACCAGTCTTTGCCACACACAGTTCCAAACTAAACTAGTCCCACCTGCCTCCTCCTGGCCCATATTCCTCCAAACCTTTCCTAATCATATACTTATTGAAATGTCTTTTAAACATTGCAAATGTACCTGCATCCACCGCGTCCATAAGACCATAAGACATAGGAGCAGAAATTAAGCCATTCAGCCTATAAGTCTGCTCCACCATCCATTCAATCATGGCTGATAAGTTTCCAAACCCCATTCTCCCGCTTTCTCCCCACAACCCTTAATCCTCTCAACAATAAGGAGCCTATCTCAGTCTTAAATATACTCAATGACCTGGCCTCCACAGCCTTCTGTGGCAGTAAATTCCATAGATTCACCACTCCCTAGCTAAAGTAGTTTCTCCTACCTCTGTTCTAAAAGGTCTTCCCTTTACTCTAAGGCTGTGCCCTCAGATCCTAGTCTCTCCTACTAATGGAAATATTTTCCCAACATCCATTCTGTCCAGGATTTTCAGTATTCTGTAAAGTTCAACCACATCCCCCTTCATCCTTCTAAACTCCATCGAGTATAGAACCAGAGTCCTCAAACGTTCCTCATGTGTTAAGCTTTTCATCCCTGGGACCATTCTCGTGAACCTCCTCTGAACTGCTCCAGGCCAGTACATCTTTCCTGAGTTATGCGGCCCAAAACTGTGCACAATACTCCAAATGTGGCCTGACCAGAGCCTCAGTAATACCTCCCTGCTTTTATATTCAAGTCCTCTCAAAATAAATGCCAAGGTTGTATTTGCCTTCCTGGCTACTGACTCAACCTGCAAATGTACCTTGAGAGAATCTTGGACTAGAACTTCCAAGTCTCTTTGCACTTCAGACTTCTGAATTTTCTCCCCATTTAGAAAATAGTCCATGCTTTTATTCTTCTTACCAAAGTGCACGACCTCACATTTTCGCACATTGTACTCCATCTGCCACTTCTTTGCCCACTCTCCTAACCTGTACAAATCGTTCTGCAGCATCCCTGTAGCCACAATACTACCTGTCCCTCTACCTATCTTTGTATCGTCTGCAAACTTAGCCAGAATGCCCTCAGTTCCTTCATCTAGATCATTAATGTATAAAGTGAAAAGTTGTGGTCCCAGCATTGACCCTTGCAAATAACCACTTGTCACCAGCTGCCATCCTGAGAAAGAACCTTTTAACCCTACTCTCTGCTTTCGGCCAGCCAATCTTATATCCATGCTAGTACCTTGCCTCTAACATCATAGGTCTTTATCTTACTCAGCAGCCTCTTATGCAGCATCTTGTCAAAGGCGTTCTTGAAGTCCAGGTAGATAACATCCATTGGCTTTCCTTAGTCTAACCGGCTCAGTACCTCCTCAAAGAAGTCTAACAGATTTGTCAGGCATGACCTCCCCTTGATGAAGCCATGCTGACTTTGCCTATTTTACCACGCACTTCCAAATATTCAGAACGCTCATCCTTGACAATAGCGTCTAAAATCTAACCCACGACTGAGGTTAGGCTAATCGGCCTGTAATTTTCAGTCTTTTGCCTTACTCCCTTTTTAAACAGGGGTGTCACATTAGCGATGTTCCAGCGCTCTGGGACCCTCCCTGACTCTAGCAAAGATCACCACTAACAGCTCCACTATCTTTTCAGCTATGTCCTTAAGAACTATGGTCCTGGTGATTTATCCACCTTCAGGTCGTTCATTTTTGTAGCACCTTCTCCTTGGTGATAGCCACCATTCTAAGCTCTGGCCCCTGATACACTCGAAATTTTGGGATATTACTTGTGTCTTCCACTGTGAAGACTGATGCAAAGTAATTATTCAGTTCCTCAGCCACTTCCTTGTTCCGCACTACTATCTCTCCAGTGTCATTTTCCAGCGGTCCAATGTCCACTTTTGCCTCTCTTTTGCCCTTTATATATCTAAAGAAACTCTTACAATCCTTCTTTACATTACTGACTGGCTTATCCTCATATTTAATCTTCTCCCTCCTTTTTTTTTGTTGCTCTCTGTTGGTCTTTGTAAGCTTCCCAATCCCCTGGTTTTCCACTGCCCTTCGCAACATTATATGCTTTCTCTTTTGCTTTTATGCTATCCCTTACTTCCGTTGTTAGCCATGGTTGCCTCATCATCCCTGTACCATGCTTCTTTTTCCTGGGGATGAATTTTTGCTGCATCTCCTGACTTACTCCTAGAAACGCCTGCCATTGCTGTTCCACGGTCTTTCCTGCTAGGCTCCTCTCCCAGTCAATTCTGCCCAGCTCCTCCCTCGTGCCCCTGTAGTTGCCTTTATTCAGCTGTAATACCGTTACCTCTGATTCTATCTTCTCCCTCTCAAATTGCAGAGTAAATTCTATCATATTATGATCACTGCTTCCTGAGGGTTCCTTCACCTTAAGTTCCCTTATCAAGTCTGCATCATTGCACAACACTAAATCCAGTATTGCCTGTTCCCTCGTGAGCTCCACAACAAGCTGCTCCAAAAAGCCATCTCGTAGAAATTCCACAAATTCCTTTTCTTGCAATTCACTACGAACCTGATTTTCCCAGTCTACCTGCATATTGAAATCCCCCGTGATCACCGTAACTTTGCCTTTCTTACACACCTTTTCAATGTCCTGGTGTACCTTGCACCCCAGCTCCTGACTACTGTTTGGAGGTCTGTACATAATTCCAATTATGGGTTTTTTACCTCTGCGGTTCCTCAACTCTACCCACACAGATCCTACACCATCTGACTCTACTTTGTTTCTTACTATTGATTTAATTTCATTTCTTACTAATAAGGCAACCCCAGCCCCTCTGCCCACCTGCCTATCTTTTCGATAAGATGCAAATCCTTGGATATTCAGCTCCGAGTCCTGATCCCCTTGCAGCCATATCTCAGCGACGCCCACCACGTCATATCTGCCAATTTTGATCTGCGCCACAAGCTCATTTACCTTCTTTCTTATACTGCATGCATTCAGATATAACACCTTCAGTCCTGTATTAACCGTCCCTCTTCTCATGGTCATTCGTTTATCCAGTGAGCTTGAAGTTTGATTCCTAACCTTTTCCAAATACTGTCCTATTTGTGCCTGTGCTGGAGACTTTAATAACCTCTCCTGAGTTCTCCCTTCCCATCATTGTTTTCATATTTTTCCACACAGCTGAATCTACCTCTACAGATGTTAGCCTGCTGCTTTGTTCCACACTGGGGCAAGTTTTACCCTTCCCTTCCCCCCCCACTTTCTAGTTTAAAGTCCTGTTGACCAGCCTATTTACCCTTTTCACTAGAACATCGGTCCCAGCTCAATTCAGGTGGAGACCGTCCCAACGGTACAGATCCTTCTTGTTCCACTACTGATGCCAGTGCCCCAGGAAAAGGAACGCCTCTTTCCCATACCACTCTCTTAACCACGTGTTTACTTCCCTTATTCTCATGTCCCTATGCCAATTTCCACGTGGCTCAGGCAGTAATCGAGATTATAACCCTTGAGGGCCTGCTCTTTAATTTTGTTCCTAGCTCCTGATAATCCCTGAACCAGTCCTCTTTCCTAGTCTTGCCTATGTTGTTTGTTCCAACGTGGACCCCAACAACTGGACCCTTCCCCTCCCTCTCCAATATCCTTTCAAGTCGGTCAGAGATATCCCTTACTCTGACACTGGGCAGGCAACACACCATGCGGGTCTCTTGATCCTACCTACAAAGGATACTATCTATTCCCCCGATTACAGAATCCCCTACAACTACCACCGGTCTTTTTGCACTTCCCTCTTGAATGGCCTCCCATGCCACAGTGCAGTGGTCAGTTGGCTCATCCTCCCTGCAGCTCTTTTCCTCGTCCACACAGGGCGCAAGTATCCTGAAACTCCTCTGTTCCTGAATGCAGGATTCCTCTAACTGCCTCATTTGCAGTCAACCCCTGCTGTCCCTGGCCACTGACCAAATTTGAAGTACTTAATCAACCAAGTGTGACTGCCTTCTGCAACACAGCATCCAGGTACTTCTCCTCCTCCCGGATGTGTCGCAGTGTTTGAAGCTCAGTTTCAGCTCAAAATTCTGAGCCAAATGTTCCTCAAGCAACCAACACTTGCTGCAGCTGTGGTCATCGCCATTCGCAATGGGATCAGCCAGCTCCCACATCATACAGCTACATCACCTGTCCAGCCATTTCTACTTAGTTAATTACATTATTGAGTTAATTAAAATTATTGATACTTCTTGGCTGTGTTCTTTTTCGAATTCAGTTCAGATTTCCTAACAGTGAATCAGGTCACAGCCTCCCTGTGACGCCACTCCAGCTTTTTCCTCACAGCTACAATATGCCCTAAGCTCCGGTAGGTTTATACTCACTCTGCTGCTGCTGTTGTGGTCTTCACAGGGGCGTTTTTTTGTTGGTCAGAGGAGGAGGGAGGGAGAGAAAGTAACACTGAATTAGTGTTTGGCATCTAACCATCCCTTGACAATACTTCCTCCACAAACCCGTTTGATAGTAGTGACTGTGCCGATGCAAGTCTTCGCGCCAATCAGCGTTGTCACCGTCCTCTGCTGAACTCAGGAAATTCGTTCCACACACGAACCACTGTAAAAAATTTGTCTCATTTTTTTTTTTTTTTTTTTTAAATCTCTCTCCTCTCACCTTAAAAATGTGTGTCCTAGTCATGAAATCCCCCATCCCAAGGAAAAGACAACTACCATTAACTCTTCTTAAACCTCTCATTATTTTGTCAACTTCCATCAGGTCACCTCTCAATCTCCTACACTCCAGTGAAAAATGTCCCAGCCTTTCTTTAAAGCTCAAACCTCCCATACTCAGCAACCTCTTGGTAAATCGCTTCTGAACCCTCTCCAGCTTGATATCATCCTTCCCATAACTGGGCGACCAGAATTGGATACAGTATTCTAGAACAGGCCTCACCAATGCTCTGGACAACCCCAACATGACTTCCCAACGTCTATACTCAAAGGGCCGAGCAATGAAAGCAAGTGTGCCAAACACCTTTTTAACCACCTTGTCTATATGTACCTGCACCCCTATGTCCCTCCGTTCTACAACACTACCCAAGGCCCTATCACTAATTGTATAAGCCCTACCCTCGTTTGTTGTACCAAAATGCAATATCTCACATTTATCCAGATTGAACTCCTTCTGCCATTTTTCAGCCCACTGACCCATTTGATCAAATTCCTCTGTAACATTAGAAAGTCTTATTCACTGTCTACCACACCACCGATTTTGGTGACGTCCGCAAACTTACTATCTACGCCTTCTGTATTCTCATCCAAATCATTTTTTTTCTTTATTCATTCACAGGATGAGGGCATCGCTGCTAGGTAGCATTTATTGTCCATCCCTAATTGCCCAGAGGCCAGTTGAGAGTCAACCACATTGCTGTGGGTCTAGGGTCACATGTAGGCCAGACCAGGTAAGGATGGCAGTTTCCTTCCCTAAAGAACATTAGTGAATCAGATGGGTTTTTCTGACAATCAACAATGCATTCATGGTAGATGTCATGTTAGATTCTTAATTCCAGATATTTTACTGAATTCAAATTCCACCATCTGCCACGGTGGGATTCGAACCCGTGTCCCCAGAACATTATCTGGGGTCTCTGGATTAACAGTCTAGCGATAATACCATTGGGCCATCACCTCCCCAGATTTATAAATGACAAACAAAAAAGGACCCTGAACCAATCCCTGCTGGTCACAGTCCTCCAGTCCGAAAAGCAACCCTTCATTATTCTGTCTCCTGCCATTAAGCCAATTATATTCCAATTGGCAAGCTCACCCTGAATCCCACGTGACCTAACCTTACTAATTAGTCCATCATGCGGAAAATGGTCAAAGGCTTTTCTAAAATCCTGTTACACAACACAATGGAGGACATTCTCAATGTGAAGTTTGGACTTTGTCACTACGTGGACTGTATGGTGGTCACTACTGATACCATCATGGACCGATGCATCTACAGCAGGCAAACTGGTGAGGTTGAGGTCAAGTATGTTTTTCCTGGTCTCCGATCATCCTTACTCCTCCTTTAAATATTCCTTTGCAATTTATAGGACTATAAAAGGCTTTGGGATTTCCAAATATGCTAGCAGAGTCAGGGTTACTTAGTAAATGTTATCCAATAGTCAAATCACATCTACTGCCGAATATCGCAAGCACAGGTAGGTTGAGCACGCTGATAATCAAAGGGATGTGTTGCTTAAACAGTCTACCACTCTTTCAGACGTAACTGGCATCACAGCAACACTGAAATATCACAGTACTCATTTGTATCGTAGGCAGAGTGTCTTTTTGGCCGATATCAGCATATTAGCGGAGAATACCATTCATGTTTATTGCAACAGAGCAGGCTACTTTCACCTGTTGCTCAGAGTCAAAAATGGCCAACTTTAGCCCATTCATGAGTTTGCACAATATCCAGTTTGCGATGATTTGATTTGGGCAGTCATTATCATGCAGGACAGTTTTAATACATGTGATGTCAGCATCAAGCTTAAGCAGTGAGAAGATGGTTTGGGCCTTATTCATGAGATTGCTGATAAGAATGACCTTGTAGCACATGGAACTAGAGAAATCACATTAAACAAAGGCTTTCAGTAGATAGTAGTAGAAACACAAAGGCAAGTTCTTCAACCAGAGTATTGAAGAAAGGGAACTGGCTTTACTTCTTCATTTCAAATGTAAAGATGAGTGCATGATATAGTCTATTAAAAGATGTACAAAAACAAAACTTAGATGCAGCTATATACTGAAACATAGCAAATGTGTCATCTACACAAGTCGTCTGCAAAACAGGAGGTTGTCAATGGTCCTTCCATCAAAGTCATGCTTTTCATAGAAACCAAAAAATATGTCCAAGAGAGTTAGGCCTGGAAGAATCTCATGGCAACCCCATCTATTGGCATACATGGTGTTGTTGGAACTGAATTCAACTATAAGAGTTGCTAAGTTTATGAGTTTTATGAAAACAGATATAGACATCAGGGACACATCTAGATCACCATATGAACTAATGAAACAGTGAATGGCTTCCTTGAGTGGTGTGTTAGTGAATAGATTAGTGCCAAAAAAAAGGCCTGGGCACAATATCGCTACTGATATGAAGAACTTGTGTAATTTTCATGGAAGTGCAAGTGAAAAGCTTACTTAGAACTGGTCACTTCAGTTCACTCAACAATTTGGCTAATTTATGGTTTACAGAAGCAGTCACAAATAAGGAATAAAGGACATGGTTTGGAGTGCTTTGGGCAGCCCATAATTATGTGGACTCCAGCAGGTAGGTCAACAGCCCTACTCATTCACCTTTGCAACTTGCCCACAAGTGTGGCTGCAACCTGTTTTTTATTGGCAAAAAGAAAATGTTGCGCATTTAAATTGATAAAAACTATGGAGACAGCTAATCTCTGCTGCATCACTAAAGCAACATTCTGACCATGCTGTATAAATTGTTGTTCCCGTTCTATATTTGGTTTTCTTAAATTTGAGTCCTGATGCATGCCAGATGAAAAGCTTCAATTTTAAGTCTCTTTTTGGCAGTACTTGTGTCTTGTACTACTATGCAATTATTGTTTATTCAAGAGGTCAAAGCAAACAGGGCATGGGAAACTCTGAACTAGTTTGGACCCAAATATAGTTATTCTCAATGGATTACATTATCATATAGATAACAGTTTTCATTAGAAATACACATCTGATTTAATGATGAAGTTTTAAAAATAGCTCATCTGAATATTGATTTCAAAAAAGATGAGATTTGGGAATCATTTTTATAGTGATGTCTGTTTGTTCAACATCAGATGTAAGTGGGGCCTTTTCTTTCCCCCATACCCTCACCACCACCACCCCACCCACAACTAGTACCAAAAGAATAATTTGCTCATCTTAAGCTTTCTACAAGGCTGATTGAGCAAAATGATAGAAAAAAAGCATGCCATTTTAAATCAAGGGTGGAGTGTTATATAACCTTTTGTTTCTAACAAAAATGTGGTCAGATTCTTGAACTACAGCAGTCACTCTCCAACAATTTACAACAATTAACATTATTTTCCCTTTAAGCACTAGATGTCGGATAATTTCTACATTATCTCACTTTCACTCCATGACTGAACTCTACTGCTTCAGAAAAGATAGGTCACAGATTTTCTACATTCTTGCCCAAAAGTTATTTTAAGAACACCATCATATTAATGGGGTTTATTGTGGTGTCAGTATTGACAAGATTGGGGGTGCAATGCCAGGAAGGTACTCATTTTTCATAGCCAATGATGTCCCAACAGTATGCAATCAGATGTAAACACTAGGGGATCACTAAATTGGACTCATCCACGATACCCTGAATAACTAAACAGTCCAGGGAATTTGCGCTTCAGGAAAGACCACATAGGGTTTCCAAACCTGTTGGAAAATAAAACATTAGGAGGGTGAAGGAGAAAGAAAATGCAAAGAATCTTTCATAATTGAGGGCTGGGAACTAATTTCAAAGTAAATTTACTCTCTTACTTTACCAAAGAACCTTAAAGTGGTTGGATGAGTGTTGTGTTGTTCATGTATTCATGGACTTTCAAGCGCATTTCAGAAAAATACCTGGTACGAAAACTGAAGCCTAGGAGATTAGACAGTGGCTATGTGGATATAAAACCACCTGAGCGACAGAGATGAGCGGGCAGAGGTGAACAATTGCTTTTCCAAACCGGAAGGAAGTGTGCAGTCATTGTCCCGAAGGGAGTGACAGGGTTACAATTCTTTTTGACGTCTATTGATGCCTTAGACTGAGGTTAGAACAGCAGATAAAAACTCAAAATTATAGTAGGCTGATTGAGACAACGGGTATCAAAAATGATCAGTGTTCCCTCTTAACTGCACAACAACCCAAAAGCTCCCAAACACATCTCACATTAGCTAGTATCACACATGCACAGTCACACAATGATTCAAAAGGCATTTAAATGAATCAGTCTTAAAACAGAACATAGAATACAGCACAGGAACAAGCCCTTCAGCTCGCCATGTCTATGCCGACCATGATGTCATTCTAAACTAATCCCATCTCCTGTACTTGTACCATGGCCCTCTATTCCCTGCCTAGTCTTATGTCCGTCTAAATGCAACTTGAATAATGCAGCGCAAATCAAAGAATGCGTTGATGGTAAATGAAAATTTAGCATAGACGAGTGTGAAGTAGTTAAACATATAAAGGAAGACTAAGACAATATTAACAAAATACCTTAAAGGCAATGTGGAAACAGACACACATGGAGTACATGTGCACAAGTCTTTAAAAAAGGTTTTTGACAGGACATTTGAAATAGATACTAAAAGTCAAATGGAACCCTTTGTTTTTTTTTCCCCTAAGTAGAGTAAAACAGTACAAAAGCAAGAACATTATGCTAAACTTCAATAATCACTAGTTAGCCCTCAGGTGGAAATCTGTGGTTAATTGTGAACACCACAAAAAGGATGTACAGGCTTTAG